ACGCCCGACCTGCTGGCTGCTCGGGTACCCCAGACCCACCACCCTTTCCCCACAGACCCTTCAATGATGTGCCCCCTTTGTTCTCAGAACCTTGGGGAAGGCGGCTGGACTGCTGGGGGGTGGGCATCATGGGGTTCTGGGGTGGGCAGGGGGTAAATTGGGGGGAGGGAGGGCGGGGGTGCGTTTCTTTTGCATGACTGTGGCCTGTTGCTCATGACTTTCTTTTGTAAATATCTATAAATGAAGAGAAACAGAGGCACCAAATCCACCTTCTGCCATTCATACCTGCAGGACAAGGAGGTGCGGTCCCTCTCTGTGCACCCTGTCCCCTCCCCGCCCATCAAGCCTAGCCCCTTCCCCTGCCCAGCTGGCTGGTCCCTTGAGGCCCTCAAGGCCAGCCATCTTGGCCCCTGGATGGTGTTGGGTTTGGGTGCAGAGGTGGGACCCCAAGGAGCAGGACAAGGGCCATTCCTTCCCGTGATCCCTCCGAGCCCCCGGGCCCAGCCCAGATTGACAATGGAGTTTGTAACTATATATTTTTAATAAAGTATATGGTCCATTGGGGTAGGCTGGTTGAAGATGGAGGTTGAGAAGAGAGACCAACGTGATATGAGTGTGTCTGTATGTGGTATGTGTGTGATCTGCATGTGTGTATGGGGCGTGTGTGTGCTATGCATGCATGTGTGCATGGTCTGTATCCACGTGTATGCATGCTGTGTGTGTGTGCCCTTTTCTGAGACACTGACCCTTGGAGGGAACTTTATTACCTGCCCTTCTTCCTGGGAGCCAAAAGGAAGGGTCCTGCGTGGGCCTCAGAGGTTTGAGCAGGTTCAAGTCAGAGCTCTGCTGCTTTCCAGCTGTGTGGCTGTCAGCAGGCTGCCTACCAGCTTGGCCTCGGCTTCATCTTCTGCAGAATGAATGAAGCAAAGCTCCCTCCCTAGACGTGATGGACAAGAGAACCCTGTGTGGGTGTCGGCCAGCCCTTTATACCTCTGGGGAGATGGGTAGGGCCCACCTGGTTATACTCCGCCCCTCCCCCGCCCCCACATACACACACATGCGCATACACACGTCAGGCGGGGCCGATCAAGCGGTTGCCAGACAGTGTGGTGGGAAGGGCTCCAGGGGCAGTTGGGACACCTGGCACAGTCAGACTTAGTCTCTGCCTTGGTCCAAGACCTTGGGTAAGTCCTTCCCCTTCGCTGGGCTTCGGTTGGCCTGTGCTGTATAACAAGCCACCCCAAAACTTAGACAACCAGGGTTTATTCTTATTTCTACGGATAGGCTGGGTAGTTCCTTGTCTGGTGTCTTCTGGGCTCACTCCAGCACCTATGCTCAGCTGGAATGGCAGCCGAGCTGTAAGGTCCAAGATGGCCTCACTTATGTGTCAGGCCGTTGGTCTGGTGGTCGGCCAAGAAGCCTCGGTTCCTCTCCAGGGGCCTCTCCTCCTCCAACAGGCTACACCGAATTTCTTCATTGCATCTCGGGACAGCGACCTAAGAGGGTGAAGGCATAAGCTGTAAGATCTCTTGATCCTCGCCTTGAACCCAAAGCATTCTATTGGCCAACCCAGGTCATGAGGTCCATCTAAATTCAAAGGGTGAGAAATTAGGCTCCGCCTCTTGGGAGCATGGTAAAGCCACATTGCAAAGGGCGTAGGCACCAGGGTGGAATTGTGGCCGTAAATGGTGGTTTATCACGGAAGCTTTGAATCTGAGGCTCCTTCCAGCTCTAATTGTATTCTACATGTCAACTATGTACCCAATATTTGGTATGTAAAAGCAGCAGAGGACATCCTCTTAGTTCCCAGGAATCTTCTATGCAAAGGTGCCAGCTACCTCTGGGAACACAGGGAACCAGGAGGCAAGCTCACCCACTGCAAACTACTGTCGGCTGCTTTGTGAATGACCAAGGCTGGCAACGTGACTGTCATTCGGGTAAAGCATGTGCTTCAGCAGCTTAACAAGAGAACCTGAGGCCTGGGATCCAAGTTCCCCAGCAAATAACTCATCACGATGTCTCTCATTTGCATAACTCTTTTCACATCCTTGAGTTCACCGAACTCCTACCAAACCCCAAGAGATAGGTAGGACAAGGACTTAGCCTCGAATGAGGAATAGAGGCCCAGAACTAAGGATTTGGCTCAAACCAAGGTGAGGGCCGTCAGAGGCCAAGGGGTCTGCTTCCCCCTGACTCCTATCCTCCCTGAGGCGGGGGCTAGGTGAGGGGGGAGGGGCTGCCTCCTTTCCTCCCCTGCCCCCATCCAAAGTGTACCTCCGAGGACCTACAGGGGCCACTCAGCAAGACAAAAGCTCAGCTGCCCAACTGCCCACCCTCTCAGAAGGGCCCCTGGTGCCCTTTTGCAGGGCAAGAGCACCCTGGGGTCTCACCACCCCCACACCCCAGAGGCTCATTAGAGATGTCCCTCCACCCTACAGGCCCTGGGAGGACTTCGCTGGGTCCCATGCTCTCCTGCCTGCTTCATTCTCAGTGATGCTTTGGTACCCCGGGTGAGCGGCAGTAACTAAAGAGGACCTCAGGTTCAAGCACCCGTAGCCTCAGAAACGTCGACCTGGAGCACATCTCAGAGGTTGCCCAGCCCTCCACCCAAAGAGGGCCAGCAGGAGAAGATGGACACACAGCGCCCACTGTGAGAGGGGCTCCCATCGAGAATGACATGAGAGCGCTCAGCTTCCTTCCCAACTCCTTCCTCATTTCCAGCTTCCCACTTGCTCAGACACTAGTAACAGTGGCCCCTCTGGGAGGGCCTGTCTCTTTGTTAACATGCGAGCGTGACCTGGGGGACACAGGAGAGAGCAAGGACTTTCTGGGGTGCCAAAGTGGAGCAGCGCCATTGTGGGCACTGGGGCTGAGCACGGGGAGGGCCCAGGGGGAGGGGGACACAGGGATGCAGAGAGGTGAGCGCACAGCTGCAGGGGGGCTGGGAGGCTCCACTGCAAAGCCCGCTCGCTTGCTCGCTGCTCTGCTCAGCGCTGACTCACCATCCCGTTCCCACCTGTTCCCTTTCCACAGCTCTCCCACCTGCCTTCCCCCAGCCCTGCTCCCTGGCAGGCAGCTCCTCCCATCTCCCTCACTTCACGCCAGGCTCCTGGTGGCGCTGAAAGAGGGGGATCACTGCATCTGGGGGTGTGAGAACCTTAGACATCCTAAAGCTTGGAATCATCAGAATGGGCTGGCGGAGGGGGCCTCGCAGGTCCCACCAAGTCCTTCCTCAACCTACCCATCATCCCTGCCCGGCCCTCGCTCTCCTGCCCCAGTCACGCCCGGGAGTGGTAGTGGGCGGCAGGGAGAGAAGGAGGGTGTGGTCTAATGAAGCTGCAAACCTCACCCTCCTCTTGCCTAAAATCCCAACATTCAGGCAGAATGCTTGGAGGTTCGCCTTTGCTTCCTTCCCGCCAGCTTCTGAAAAACTGATTTTCCTTTGAACTCAGATTGCTTCAAGAAACGTAGAAGAGGACCGAGAAGGCGTTCGACTCAGCTGTTTTCACCTGGTCAAACGCCCACCTCTTGGTTCGTTCTTAGATCGCACGGCTGCAATCTGGGCCCTACTTCCTGTGTAATGTTTTCTAGGTACTGACTTCCCTTGGTATTGATGGATTCTACATATTTTCCATTTTTAATGACAACATAATGTTCATAAAATCGTAGAGCTCAGCAGGTCAACCCCTCATTTACAGGTGGGGAAACTGAGGCCTAGAGAGGAGTACCTGGAACCCCCTCTCCCGGATCCCAGCCCTTCCCACTACTACACACAGAACCAGCTACATAAATTGTGGGGTCCGTTGCAAAATGAAAATGTGTGTCCCTTGTTCAAAAGTCGAGAAAACTGTGCCATTAAAGGCACTAAAATGTAAAGCTTTTCCTTTCTTCTGATTACTTCCTCTGCTCATGTGCATGCAAAGTTATCCCGTTGGACTTCACCTACAGAACACAAGTTCAAAGAGAAAATTAGGAATTTCAAGAGATAACACAGAGCATTAAACCAAGCCTGGGTCCCTCCCGTGAATCAACCGGCCCTCTGATGAGCTCTGCTGGCCTGTCCTGCCCTCCTGTTGCCAGACGGATTCTAACTTCTCTCCATGACACACAGGGCTCTGGTTAACAACTTTGCATAGCTTTTGGTTTTTGTCGCTTTACCGTTTTTTCTTCTCGTGGCTGTTTGCTCAGGCTAAGTACTGACAGAATTCTGGGCTAAGTTTGCCAGGCTCTCTCAAAATGCAACCCCTGAGCTTGTGACTCTTCTCATAGGACAGTGTAGACTTGGGTCCAAGCATTGGAAAGGGGAGAAGTTTTAACATCCTGTCCCCCGACCCCAGCTTCTCAAGGAGCTGCAGGCCGAGAGGGTGGGCACAGATAAGGAGGAATGGTTGGCAGCGGGGGACAGCGATGGCACCGAGGCACAGAGCCGAGAGCGCTGGCATTTATGTACATGTTTATATAGAGGAAAGGTCTTGGGTATGAGCACCAAGGGATTCCTAAGTTTGGATTCTTCCATCGCTTCCTAGCTATGTGACGTTGGGCAAGTTGATTTACATCTCTGAACCTGTGTCCTCATCTATTAAAAAAGGCGATTCATATGGATCTCACGTGCTTGTTGTGTGGATTAGATGAGATCTCACGTGGAACCAGTCATGGCATGGTCTTGGGTGTATGAATGGACCCCAATAAATGTGACTTGCCTCCCAGAAGAGATTCTGATGGGCTCAGGAAGCTCAGAGGTCAGTTGTCAAACTGTCTTGTGTCTCAGACAGAATCCCATCTGTCTGAGACACAAGACAGTTTGACAACTGACCTCTGAGCTTCCTGGTAGTTATGCAAAAAGGGAAAGCTGACAGATCACTTAGCCCTCAGGAGTGAGGACTGGGAAGCTAGAGAAGCTTGGGTTCTGACTTACTGTGTGATCCTGG